AAACTTTGAGTGCTTATATATAAAAATGTTGACCATGAATTTATTTTATTTTTCAACTGCTATTGTAACAATATGTTAGGTGCTTTGTATTAAATTTTCAAGCTTTTCTACTATCAAATACATTTTTATCGATATTAATTTWAAAAAAAACTAATAATGATCGAAAATTGCATATGTCTATAAATAGTTCAATTTAAGTCGACATTTTTTTAAAATTACATGGTGGATAGAATATACTTATATAAACACTCATTGTAAATTTCATGGTCAATTGTTTTAAAGTTACATTAAAAACCAAAATCGATTTTGTCAAAAACTGATTGCGTGTAAAATATACCGTTTTTTCCTTAATTTTTAGTCTGTTTATTCTGATCATTTTATTTTATTATTTTGTTAGAAAAATATTGAGAATTTTTACTTTTGACCGCCCAAAGAACCAATTAGATTCACTTTCTGATCTAACAAGGCACTGAAGTCGAARATTGAAACATTTTTACTGCCCCAAAACGTGATGGCAGACATACAAAAAAAAACACACACACATCATGGTAAAATCAATACATTCCTCGCTCCGTTCAGAATCTAAAATTTATTTAACATTTAATAAAACAWCTAAAAATCTCGTCAAAATCAGTCCATTTATTTTGAACTCTTACACAGACAAACAGACATCAAATATATCTGTGCGTGTGTCGTGCAATATTACATTTAATTTTACGCATTCAAAAATCACTGCKTGTATAAAATGTGAATACTTTTTATTTGTGATACACTAGAAACCCCATGAATTAACTGACTTTGACTTAAACCTGGTTACAATTTACCTATATAGTATATATTAAAATATTAAATATATTTATCGTTTTCCATATTTCCACTATTTTATTATCAAACATTGTAATGCAAAAATAAAAATAAAACTCCCCGTCAAAATCGGTTTAAGATCTATTTTAAAACCGTTTCTGGACAATGAAATAAACAGACAGACAGRCAGGCAGTCAAATATAACTATGCATACTTCACGCAATAATATATTTAATCATGTATACATTAAAAGTCACAAAAGGTACTTATAATTTGTGATACATAATATAACTAAAAGGAGAAAATAACATTGATTTTTAATTTTAAAAATGTCGACTTTTCAAAACTGTGTGGTAACCAATAGGTAATATAAATAAATTACTCCTCTCCCCCAATTAGGTTTAAACCATGTTTCAATTCTTTATAAAATAAATAATACAATTTTGAAWGTTAAATCCAATCATTCCAATTTCCAATCGTAATAACTATTTTATTTTCTGTTACCAATAATGTAACAAACAACCCAAAAAAAAAAAAAAAATTATATTTCCGTTTGTCGAAACTGAATTCCTTTGTCGGTCATATCTTTAAAAAGTGATTTTTTTAAACCCCTACTTATTGCATCTAGAGCATTAGAGGAATCACTGTTAAAAGCTCATAGATTTTGTCGTTTTTGAGGAATAGTAATTAATGAATGACTTTTACATAATGCATATATAGAACAAAAAAGGTTGTAAGCCAATGTTTACAATGGGAATTTTTTTAATTTCTCCGTATTAAACATCTAGATTCTAGAATAATTGGAGGCATTAYTTTTTATACATTTATAACTATTAAAAAGTTCGTATGTTTTGTCGTTTTTGAGGAATAGTTATTWGTATTTGGATTTTATAACTATAGATCCAATTTTTACATTTAGAGTGAATGTATTAGGTATACTGATGAATTGGTRTWACAATGTTTTTTTTT